AAATTTTGGTCACAATTTGACATCGCTGTATTAGCGGAACGCCATAAGGTGAAACGCCGTAAAGCGGGGCCTTACTGTATTTACAAAGTGCAAGTAATTAACAGCAAAATCTGGTGCACACAGATCAGTATTGCTAAATTTTCAGAATTCGGATGGAACATGAACACAAAAATTTCTGACAAACTGATCAGCTAATAACAAGACACATAGTTGACAGTTTCATTCATCTCGGACATCTAATTATACGGGCTGTTTACATTCAAACCCAATTCTGCTAGGGTACGGTTTACGTATGCAGAATGGTTATCATCTTTGGGTGGATTGAACTCTTCTGCGATGGCTAACACATGCCTTGACTGAGGACGATCTGAACAAGTATCTACAAATGATACAGCTACATTCACTAGTGACTGTGGAATTACTAACTCTTCTGCTAGGAATACTCAACTCGACTGTTCGATACAGTAATTCTTGACTCATTACAAAGTCACTAATGGGTGCTGGTGGCTTCACAGTCAGAAAAGATCTTCCTGGAGCAGGAATCGAATCACACCAGAACACAAGGGATCGGTTCTTTCTTACTTGAGGAATGAACAAACTCGGTGGAGTGGATGACTCTCCCCGGTTGAAAAAATAACGCTATAACACGCAATATGAGCAAGGGAGAATGGGTCTACTATCTGGCTCTGGTGGCCTGGTGGTTAACGCTCTCGCTTCACACGGCGAGGGCCTGTGTTCGATTCCCAGCCAGAGTAGAAACATTGGACGTGTTTCTTTCCACCTGTTGTCTATGTTCCCCATCAGTAAAATGGGTACCTGGGTGTTAGTCGACTGGTGTGGGTCGCATCCTGGGACACTGACCTAAGGAGGCCTGGTCACAGACCGGGCCGCGGGGGCGTTGACCCCCGGAACTCTCTCCAGGTCCAGGTCTCACTGCAAGCACAGGGGAAAAGAAATGAACACGGTCAACAATACTGATATTCAATCTGAGTCGCACACAGTGACACGCGGTATCAACTATAAAGAAACTTCACTTACAAACGTTAACAACGTGAAAGTTACTCAAGAAACAACTTCTTACAATGCACTGATTACTGTCAACGAGGATGGGATCACCATCTGGAACACAAGGGACAACAACAACACTCAAGTGAGTACACTAGCCACAGAAATGTCTTTCTGCAACGGCTTATGGCATCAGCAAGAGATGGCATAACTCGTTGCAAGTAAAGTTCTTCTCAAAGCGTCCCCTGGGAAGGAACGAGTACTTGAACAAGTCGCCATTGTAAAGATAGTAGTCTCAGCACCCAGGGTTGTCTGAGGTTCCTCTCAAACCCAAGGTAACTGTACACTATCCTGCGTGCACGATATTGTGGCTGGAGTCCAGACAGGAGTGACAGTATTACTAGTGCCTGACCGCTCGGCTACGTTAATAAGTAATGAACGAATCTGTAGGAGCTTAATCGGAACTTCACGTTTCGCAGCACTTTAACATGGTTCTGTCACTGAACTTGTTGCAGAGATGGCTTGTTTCAGCTTGCTCAGGGTGGTACTTCTCCACAAACCTTTGCACATCATTCCACCTTGCACAAATCTTAATCTGTGAAGAAGGCATCTCATCCACTCCCTCTTCCTCCTCCTGTGATGCAAGTTCCTCTGCTGTGGTATGATGCTGTTCCATAAGAACATAAGAAAGAAGGAACACTGCAACAGGCCTACTGACCCATGCGGAGCAGGTCCATGCCCCCCCCATTAGACCAATAACCCCCCCCCCCCCGATTAGCCCAATGACCACCCAGTCTGGTCACCTCCACTCAAGGAAGGAGCATGGCACCAGACCCAGCAGCACAAACTAGTCAAGTCCATCTCACCCACCCACACACACTCATGTATTTATCTAACCTATTTTTAAAACTACATAACGTTTTAACCTAAATAACTGTACTTGGGAGTTTGTTCCACTCATCCACAACTCTATTACCAAACCAGTGCTTTCCTATATCCTTCCTGAATCTGAATTTTTCCAACTTGAAACCATTGCTGCGAGTCCTGTCTTGGCTGGAAATTTTCAGCACGCTATTTACATCCCCTTTATTTATTCCTGTTTTCCATTTATACACCTCGATCATATCCCTCCTAATTTTATGCCTTTCGAGAGAGTGCAGATTCAGGGCCCTCAGTCTGTCCTCATAGGGAAGATTTCTGATACATTGGATCATCTTTGTCATCCTCGTCTGTACGTTTTCCAGAGCATTTATATCCATTCTGTAATACGGTGACCAGAACTGAGCAGCATAGTCTAAATGAGGCCTAACCAAGGATATATAGAGTTGAAGAACAACCTGAGGACTTCTATTATTTATACTTCTAGATATGAAGCCAAGAATTCTGTTAGCTTTATTGCGAACACTAATGCACTGTTGTCTTCATTTTAGATTACTGCTAACCAGAACTCTTAAATCCTTTTCACAATCAGTAGTATTAAGATCTACATTATTTAGTTTATATATGGCATGGTTATTTAACTGTCCAACATTTAGAACTTTGCATTTGTCAATATTAAACTGCATCTGCTACTTCTCCGACCATTGCATCAGTCTATTCAAATCATCCTGGAGTGCTCTAGTGTCCTCATTAGAATGAATTGGACGGCCTATTTTGGTGTCATCAGCAAATTTGCTCATGTCATTATTTATTCCCTCATCTATGTCGTTTATGTAAATTGTGAACAACAACGGGCCCAACACTGACCCCTGAGGAACACCGCTTGTGACGTGCCCCCATTCCATAAATTTTCCCACTATGGAGGTAAGGCTTATTGGTCTATAGTTCGAAGCTAAGGACCTGTCACCTGCCTTGTAAATAAGTATTACATTTTCAATTTTCCACTTATCAAGCACTGCCAGTTTGTAGTGATATGTTAAAAAGATTAGCCAAAGGTATGCTAAGTTCCTCTTTACATTCCTTTAGCACCATTGCAAACAGTTCATCACGGCCTAGGGATTTGTTGATGAAGCTCTTGCAGCTTATCAGTGGTTAGCTCTTTCCTCTGGTCCTGCACCAACTCTTCCACATCCTCGCCACTCACCTCCAAACCTAGGGAGTTCCTCATTGCCACAATACCTTCCACAACAGGCAGAGGGTCAGCAGGGTCAGGGTCAGCCTCTAACCCTTCAAAATCCTTCTGTTGGACACAATCTAGCCACAATTGTCTCCAAGCAGAGCTCAAAGTCATGGAAATCACTTCCTCCCAAGCCATACCTATAAGGCTTATGCAGTTGTAGATACCGAAGTGATTCCTCCAGAACTCTCTTAGGGTCACTTCAAAGGACTTTTCAAACACTGCTTTTGTGTAGAGGCTTTTGAAGTTAGAAATGACCTGCTGGTCCATGGGTTGGGGGAGAGGAGTGGTGTTAGGAGGCAAGAACTTCAGTGTGATAAAACTGAAGTCCCTAGACAGTAGGTCTACCAAGTTTAGAGGATGTGCAGGAGCATTGTCCAGTAACAGGCTGCACTCGAGTGGCAATTTATTTTCCAGGAGGTATTTTTTCACACTGGCTAAAGTCTTCATGGACTCATTCTTTAAAAATTTTCGTTGTGACCCATGCCCTATTATTAGCTTTCCACAACACACAGTCTATTCTTGACGACATTGTTTTTCTTGAACACACTGGGATTTTCTGAGTGATACGCCAGTAAAGACTTCACTTTAAAATACCCACTAGCATTAGCACAAAACAAGAGAGTTAGCCTGTCTTTCATAGGCTTGTGCCCTGGAAGTGCCTTTTTCTCCTGCATAATGTAGGTCCTCTTTGGCATTTTTTTCCAAAACAGGCCTATTTCGTCACAGTTGAACACTTGTTTGGGTTTGAATTTTTCAGTCTTTACATACTCCTGAAATTTCAGTTATGAATTTTTCAGCTGCAAGTTTGTCTCAATTGGCAGCCTCCCCATGCCTTACCACACTGTGTATGCCACTACGCTTCTTAAATCTGTCAAACCAGCCTCTGCTGGCCTTAAAGTCACTAATAGCAGCACTTGTTGCAGGCCTTTTGTTTATGAGATCATCATGCAGTTGCCTTGCCTTTTCACAAATGATCATCTCCGAAACACTATCACCCTCTATCTCTTTAGCTTTTATCCACACAATCAACAACTTCTCAACCTCTTCGACTATTTGTAGTCTATTTTTGGTTAGCATATCAACACCTTTTGTAACATCAACTTCCTTGATTTCTTTTCTCTTCGCCAGGGTAGAAGCGATTGTTTTGTTTTTGCCACATATCCCGGCAAGCTCCACAAGTCGCACACCACTCTCGTATTTTTGTACTAGTATTTCCTTCTTCACATCTATGGTGTTTCTCACTTTCTTTACCACAGGGGTGCCACTAGTAAGTTTCTTTGGGCCCATGGTAGCTTATTTCACAGTCGCACAAGCACCAAACACAATGAATTAATAGTGTAATGTTTGTATGAGGGTGCAGGTTAGTGCTCACTCAAGCATAAACAAAGCCAGACTGGCTCACAACACCTGCGTGCGGGAATGTGGGCAGGCAGACAGGTCTGGTACGCGGTTCGAAACACAGGGTATGTCCGATACTTGGGACAAAATTGGTGCAAAAAAAAGTGGTCGAAACTCGAAGCGTTCGATAGTCGATGCGTTTGAAACTCGGGTTTCCACTGAGTATACAAAACCTACAAAATACTTTCAACTTGTTCTAGTGTAATATTCCCAGATTGTAATTTGAGTAAACTTACTGTCTACTATAAATAAAATAGATGTACAACTGAACAAACTATGAGCTTTTGTATTTGTTGAATATAAGTCCTGGTTTTGTCTACAAATGGAGAATTGAATACTCGAGAAAGAAAAAAAAAATGGTTGTTTATGTTGTCTTCAAAATTTGAGAGTAGCCTAAAACAAAATGCAGCATTTAAGTTTATTACATAATAGTATTTTTAATAATAATGTTTCTAACCAGTTAATCTTATTTTTTCAGCATCCTTCTCAGGGAAGAAGAAAGTAATGTTAAAAAATGTAGAAGCATTGATTCATCTAATATAAAACAAGAAGTGCAAGATGAATTAGAAGCACAAGAAGCATTTCAATTAATTGATACTTCAGGGAATGATTCAAAGCATCAAGAAAGCCTGACCAGCTTATCCTCTACCTATAGCAGCCCAGCTGGGGTGTTGCAAAGTGACAAAAATAATGTTTCCTGTGTAGAGAATGTATCTAGAAAGACACTTGCTTCTGTTGATTCTCTGCAACATCATGCCATTAGTCAGAATGCTTCAGATGTTGAGTCTAAATCTCAGACATCAAAGAAAGCTTCCAAGGGATCAATTGCTGGTAGTTCGGGGAAAAAGGAAAACTTCCTGTGGAGAGAGTGTTCCTGTGATGTCTACACTCTTGAAGGGCATAATGATATAGTTTTAGGAGTTGACTGCACCAACAGCTTTGTGTTGTCAGCTAGGTGAGTTGGCATGAGCTTTGTACTTTTCTTCCTAATATTGTTTATCTATAATAATTTTATGATATTATGAATTATATGATTATAAGTAAAGTGGGTAAAAATGTTGTGGGGAGAGTAGTAGGTAAATTTAGGGTGCCAAGGGTAAATGAAAATGGGGAGCCTTTAATTGATTTATGTGTAGAAAGAGGTTTGGTAATAAGTAATACATATTTTATGAAAAAGAGAATAAATATACAAGGTATGATATAGCACGTAATGAAAGTAGTTTTTAGATTATATATTGTTGGAAAAAAGGTTGAGGGGTAGGCTCCAGGAGAAAGTTTATAGAGGGGCAACTGATTATCGGTATTACTAGTTGTGGCAAAGTTGAGAAGAGGTAGATGGGAAAAGGAAAAGGAAAACCAAAGTAAGGGGAGGGGGAAAGTGTATAAACTAAGGGAGGAGGGAAGTTGGGTGAGGTAAAGCAACTTTTGGTGAAAGGTGGGGGGTGAAAAAATATTTTTGGGGGGGGGGGGGTTGAAGAGATTTGGGAATTTTTTTTAAAAAAAGCAGTACGAATGTGGGGCAAAAGTTTGTGGTTATAGGAGGGTGGGTGCAGGAGGAAAGAGGGTGATTGGTGTAATGATGAAGTAAAGGGGTTTGTGAAAAAGAGAAAAAAAAGGTAGCTTATGGGGGTTTTTTAAAAAGCGAAGGTTTAAAAAGAGTAGGTATATGGAGAGTAAAAAGAAAAGTCAAGAGATGGTGAGAGTGCAAAAGGAGAGCGATGATAGAGGGGGAGGGGCACGTCAAGAAATTTTAATGAAAATAAAAAAAAAATTTTGGGTGAGTTAAACAAGTTAAAAAAAGCAGGGGAATGAAGGGTTTTGTCATTTTAAAAAAAGGTAGGGGGAGTTAGGTAAGGTTTTTAATAGAATATTTGAGGAATTTTAAATTCGAAGAAGAAAGGGAGGGGGTAATTTTATGACTGCCAGGGGGGTATTCCATTTTTGGGGGGAAAGAAGAGCAGGAGTGAGTGGGGGGGAGGTGGTGGGGCATTACATAGAATGAAAGGGGGTAAAGCGCTGGAATGATGGGATCATGCAAAAATTTTAAAAAGCAGTGGGGCTAGGTTTGAGTGGTTTGGTATTTTTGTTTAATAAATGTATAAAAGAGGGGGGTCCCTGGGGATTGGCGGGAGCGTGTATAGCCTTTATAAAGGGAAAGGGGGACAAAAGGATTGTAAAAATTATAGAGGAATAATTTACTGAGTATCCCAAAAAACAGTGTAGGGTGGGGTTTATTTTGAAAAAATTAGAGGTAAGGACAAAATGTAAAATTGGGATGAGAAGGGGGTTTTTAAGAATGGGTAGGGGTGTGTAGTTTTCAAGGTTTACATGGAAGATATTGTGAACAGTATTTAAAATAAAGGTGGGAAGTTTTTATTGCATTTATGGATTTAAAAAAAAGGGAATTTTATGAGTGGTTAGGGGGCAATGTGGCAGATTTCAAGTTTGGGAAAAATTTAGGGGGGGTTTTAATTTTTAAAAATCTATAAAGAGTTTTTGGGGATAGTGGGGCTCGGTTGGGGTGTGTAGAAAGGGGGGACTATTTCCCGGTAAAAGAGGTCTTAGACAGGGAGTGTAATGTCCCCATGGTTTTTTAAAATTATTTATGATGGGGTTGTAAAAAAAAGTAAATGCTATGGTGTTGGTGGAGGGTGGGATTAAATTATGGGGAAATTAAATACAAAATGGGAAGTGACACAGTTACTTTTTGTGATGATACTGTGTTTTGGAGATTTAAAGAAAAAAAGGGCAAAAGGTTTTTGGACGAATTTGGGAGTGTTTTGTAAAGGGAAAGTTGAAAGTGAACATAGAAAAGAGTAAGGTGATGAGGGTTCAAATGATTTAGATAAAAAAAAATTGGATATAAGTTTGGGAGGGGAGTTGGAAAAAAGCGAATGTTTTCAGATATCTGGGAGGTGACGTGTCGGGATGGTTTATGAAGGATGAGGTTAATCATAGAATTGATGAAGGAAAAAAGGTGAGTGGTACATTGAGGTATATGTGGAGGCAAAAAATGTTATCTTTGGAGGCAAAGAAGGGATGTATGAAAAAAAATAAATTTTGTTACCAACACTTTTTTATGGGTGTGAAACTTGGGTTGTAAATGCTGCAGCAAGGAGGCAGTTGGAGGCAGTGGAGATGCCCTGTCTAAGGGCAATGTGTGGTGTAAATATTATGCAGAAAATTCGGAGTGTGGAAATTAGGAGAAGATGTGGAGTTAATAGAAGTATTAGTCAGAGTCCTGAAGAGGGGTTGTTGAGGTGGTTTAGTCATTTAGAGAGAATGGATCAAAGTAGAATGACATGGAGAGCGTATAAATCTGTAGGGGAAGGAAGGTGGGATAGGGTTCGTCCTCGAAAAGGTTGGAGGGACGGGGTAAAGGAGGTTCTGTGGGCAAGGGGCTTGGACTTCCAGCAAGCGTGCGTGAGCGTGTTAGATAGGAGTGAATGGAGACGAATGGTATTTGGGACCTGATGAGCTGTTGGAGTGTGAGCAGGGTAATATTTAGTGGAGGGATTCAGGGAAACCGGTTATTTTATATAGCCGGACTTGAGTCCTCGAAATGGGAAGTACAATGCCTGCACTTTAAAGGAGGGGTTTAGGATATTGGCAGTTTGGGGGGATATGTTGTGTATCTTTATACGTATATACTTCTAAACTGTTGTGTTCTGAGCACCTCTGCAAAAACAGTGATTATGTGTGAGTGAGGCGAAAGTGTTGAATGATGATGAAAGTATTTTCTTTTTGGGGATTTTCTTTCTTTTTGGGCCACTCTGCCTTGGTGGGAGATGGCCGACTTGTTAAAAAAAAAAAAGTATGTGTAATCATTTTATGTATTATAATTTTTATTATTGTCAAATATGTATACAATTTTGGTAGTAGGTTTGCAGACAGCAGCTGCCCAGGGAGGTAATACCATTCTGCCAAATGAGTGTGAAACAGAAGCCTGTAACTGTTCTACATGATGGTAGGAGTGCTGGTTTTTTTTTCTGTCTCTTAAACATGCTGGATGACAGATGTATCTTGCTACTTCTACTTATATTTAGGTCACACTGTGCAAGCATGCACATGCATATATATACATACACACATCTAGGTTTTTCTTCTTTGTTCTTAATCATTCTTGTTCTTTTTTATTTCCTCAATTCTTCATGGGGATGTGGAAAAGAATCTTTCCTCCGTAAGCCATGTGTGTCATATGAGGCAATTATAATGCTAAGAGCAATGGGCTAGTAACCCCTTCTGTAGAATATACTAAAAAAAGAGAAGAAAACTTTATAAAACTGGGATGCTTGAATGTGCGTGGATGTAGTGCAGATAATAAGAAAGGGATGGCTGCTAATGTTATGAATGAAAAGAAGTTGAATGCCCTCGCTCTGAGCAAAACAAAGCTGAAAGGGATAGGTGAGTTTCAGTGGGGAGAAATTAATGGGATTAAATCAGAAGTATCTGAGAGAGTTAGAACTAAGGAAGGGGTAGCAATAATGTTGAAGGATCAGTTTTGGAAGGAGAAGAGGAATATAAATGCATGAATTCAAAGATTATGTGGATTAAAATAAGGGTCAGATGCAAAAAGTGGGTCATAATAAGTGTGTATGCACCTGGAGAAGAGAGGAGTGTAGAGGAGAGAGAGATTTTGGGAGATGTTAACCCTTTGACTGTTGCGGTAGTATATGTACGTCATAGGAGATACCGTGTTAACACGTATCTATACGCATAAATTCTAGCAGCTTCAAATCAAGCAGGAGAAAGCTGGTAGGCCCACATGTGAGAGAATGGGTCTCCATGGTCAGTGTGCACCATATAAAAAAAATTGGGGAGCCAGTGGTGCATTGTGGGAATACCATTTCAGTTGTCCTTTTTCAGCATGTCTAGCGGTAAGAAATATGTGACTCCCCAGCAAATCTGGGACTCTTCTCTTCCCAAGTGATGCTCTAACACAGATGGAAGTGTCATTGAAGATCAATTTCATGATTTCGAGGAGTTTGAGACCAAAAGCAATGGAGGAGGAGGAGGAGGAAGAAGAGGAGGAGGAAGAAGAGGAGGAGGAAGAAGAGGAGGAGGAAGAAGAGGAGGAGGAAGGAAGGAGGAAGAGGAAGGAAGGAGGAAGAGGAAGGAGGGAGGAGGAGGAGGAGGAAGGAGGGAGGAGGAGGAGGAAGGAGGAGGAGGAGGAGGAAGGAGGGAGGAGGAGGAGGGAGGAGGAGGAGGGAGGAGGGAGGGAGGAGGAGGAAGGAGGGAGGCAGAGGAAGGAGGGAGGCAGAGGAAGGAGGGAGGCAGAGGAAGGAGGGAGGAGGAGGAAGGAAGAGGAAGGAGGGAGGAGGAGGAAGGAGGAAGAAGAAGAGGAGGAAGAAGAATAATAATAATATGTAATAATATGTTCCCTTGAGGCATGAAAACAGTTCACCCCATGACAGTGACAAGATAAGGGGAGATAACATCTGATAAGAGCTGACCTTTGATGAGCATAAACGAGGGTGGAGGGAGGGGGGCAGCTGTCCATATGTCAAGAGCCAGGAGGAGGAGGAGGAGGAGGAGGAGAAGGAGAAGGAGGAGGAGGAGGAGAAGAAGAGAGGAGGAGAAGGAGAAGAAGGAGGAGGAGAAGGAGAAGTAGAAGTGAAGGAGGAGAAGGAGAAGGAGGAGGAGGAGAAGAGAAGGAGGAGGAGGAGGAGAAGAAGGGAGGAGAGAGGAGGAGAAGAAAGGGGAGGAGAAGGAGAAGGAGGAGAAGGAGAAGGAGGAGGAGAAGGAGAAGGAGGAGGAGGAGAAGGAGGAGGAGGAGAAGAAGGAGGAGGAGAAGGAGAAGAAGGAGGAGAAGGAGAAGGAAGAGGACAAGGAGGAGGAGGAGACGACGACGACGACGACGAACAAACATTTGTCTGTCTGTCTATTTGTCTGTCTGCCAAGCTCCCTGTCTATCCCTCTAGCTCTGTCTCAGAGAGAGCCACAAAACTGTGTCAT